GGGGGGGGGGACAGTCCCCAGGGAGCAGCAGTGCAGTCCTGCGGGACAGCGACAGCTCTCCTCGCACAAGGGGCAGGGACTGCACCTCACCCCTGTCTCTGGGAAGCCAAGGTGTAACTCTGGCTCCAGCACCTGCGCGTACCACCTCAGCCTTGCAGAGCAGCCACCTTTGCTCAGAGCCGCTGGGGCAGGGCGCAGCACGGCTGAGGGGACCCTGGCACACACCCCACAGCACTCGAAAGAGCCCATGCTCATGCCCACCCCAGCAGCTCCCCAAGGAGGGGCAAACAATCGTTACCGTCTCTCTCTTGAGCTTCTCCCGCTTGCGTATCAGCTCCACCAGCAAGCGTGCACGCTCTAGGTCATGGCGGAGGCGCTGCCATGACTTCAGCTGCTCCTTCAGGGCCCAGTTCTTATCCTCAGTGTCTCTCTGCGGGAACATCAGAGACTATGAGCTTACAGGAGATGTGTCCCCATCTCCACCTTCCTGACCATGTGCTGGGGCTCTTCCTTGGCAAAGAGAACTGGCATGCCTGACCCGCTGGTTCAGCAAAGGTCCTAGTTCTCTCGTTGTAACCTAGGCAAGTGATTCAGAAACAGTCCAGCCTCTGGCCAGAGCTGAATACCTGCTCCTTGGTCATCAAGCTCTTAGGTTGCCAGGAGGCAGACATCCCAAGCCTCTGGAAACACTCTTCCTAACACGACTGACTGCCTGCAGCTGCCCAAGAGCACAGTCAACAATACCAGGGTCTGTGCTGCTCCTCAGAGCTCTGGCAAAGGGCAACAGGGCAAAAAGGGAACACAGCTGTGGTTGCTTGCACTTCTGGAGCATCAAAAAATGCCAACTTTTATTTATGCCGTAGCCAAAGATAAGCAGAAGCAGCCTCAACTCTTCTCCAGCAAATAAAACTGAGAGGGGGCAGAGGCAGGAGAAACCCCTGCCCGGTCACAGTCTTCAAAGCGCTCAGAAAGAAAGATTTAGAGCTCGGATGGGGAGCCAGAAGAAAAATCTGGCACCAGAGACTTCACATCTGTGAGGCACTGACTAAGGGCTGAGGCAGACAGTGGGCTGGAAGCAGCACCCACAGGGAACGCTCCTGGAGCGGTTTCAGAAACAGGAAGCAAGGCCTTGGTTCCTTCCAGACTGTTTCTGGAGATCTCCGGCCATCTCTCTCAACGCTCGCTGACACAGCAGCCTCAGACCAGGGCCGTTTCTGACAGGTTCGCCATCGCCGCTGGCTAAACGCGGGGACAAGGAAGCAGCTAACGTTCTGCGTGGCAGCATGAGAGGGCAGGATTCCCTTCCCGTGGCAGGCTGCCAATGCATCGCCGCCTGGCAAACCTCTGAACGCCAAGAGCAGAGAAGGTGAAGCAGCAAAAGCAGCTGGGGCTGCCCTTTCCTCAGCCGGGAGCTCCTACCCCTGGCCCTGCTTCTGCACCTGCAGGCACCACATGCAGCAAAGGCTTTGAGCCCACAGCTCCAAAGGCGCAGGAAGCACGCGCGCGCAGCCAGGACTCCCTGCGGTGCCCCAACGAGCAGCCCTTACCTGGTCGCAGTTTCTTTGTGACTGCAGGTGTGTCTGAAGGCGGCGCAGCAGAGGGACGCCGTTGCGGGACTGTCTCTTCAGAGTCCAGTAGCTGTGCAGTCTCTGCATGAACTGGCTCTTCCTCTGGATGGTCAAACGGTTTGTAATCTTACTGAGCCTGAAGAGGGGAGAGGAACCACAGACCCCATCAACAAGGCAAGCCTGGCTGCTGCCAGAGAAGCCCTGGCAGGGGGCACTTAGCAACAAGGCCACCCGAGAGCAGCTGAGCAGCTCCTCAGGTGGAGAACACCCTTTCCCGTGACAGGAATTTCTGTAATGTCAAGTCATGTAGTGCAGCAGCACCCCTGAGACAGCTGCAACAGAGGACACCAAGAAACATCTCTCCAAAACAGACTTTTCCCTTCTACCTCCTGCCAGATTTCAGGCAAAAGCCTGGGGCAGGCTGTGCCAGGTCGGAGTGCAACTCAGCCACATTGGGCGCCAGAGCTTTAACAGCTCCCAGTTTGCAAGACCGCAAGCGTTCAGCACTGCTATCCCAAAATCATTATTAACCTGGCTGAGAGCCACCCATGGTGACAAAAGCCCTGGCCAAATGTTACCAGACAAAACTCGAGCCCCAGGGCACCTGTGACCTGACCAAACCTGCCAAAGCATGATGAGGGAACAGGAGGCACGAGCACAACAGAGCTCCTACCTGAGCTAATGAAGAACTACCCTCAACAGCCCAAAGCACCACAAAAGGGATTTTCCTACTCTCTGCAACAACAGAAAGCCTGGATGGGCTGGGACAGCCTTGTTCAGCAAAGATGAAGATGTGGGGAGTCAAAGGGACGAACCCTCAGCACCTCCACATCTCACAGGGACAGCTCTTCACAGGGGATGGATGACTCGACCTGCAGCAGCCTCAGCTGAAGAGGCTGGGGAGAGCAGCCTCGTGTGCCATCGCCAGCCAAGCACAGCTCCCACAGGAAGACATTTGGCATTCTGGCAACAGCCCTTGAAGAATAATTAATCCCAACAGGAAGGCCTGGGGAGAGGTTAACAGCTTCTAGCTCAGTGTGGGTTTCGCTGCGAGCACAATGATAGCAGCAAGAGCCTACAAACTGCCTGCCAACGCGTCCACACACGAGAAAAGAGGCTCTGGCTACGGAGCAAGCCCTGAGTGAGCAATAACATAAGGCCGGGACACAAACAGACCGTGGCGGAAAGCCAGCCACTGTGTAGCAGAGACCTGCCCCCGCAAGTCACCAGAACGCTGCCCAGAGAGCAAAACCCACGGCTTCTGCGTGCTCCCCTCCCACTGCCCCGGAGCCTCGGCAGTCTCAAGGATGCGCAGGAAAGTGGCGGTCCCACGTCCCAGCGCGTTGCAGCCGTGCTCGACGGTGGGCAGGTATGGTGCTCGGGTGTCACAGGGTTACACCCCTGGCACAGCTCCTGCCGCAGGGAGGAGAGCTCAGCAGCTCAGAGGCGGTGGTTTGCAACCACAAAGGTGAACGCTTCCGTGACCGACCTGCGCTTTGACCGTGCCATGCCTGCTGTAGGGTGACGGCAAGATCCAAAACCATCCTAGGATGCTTCTACGTGCTTCTGCACGCTGCTGAGGACACCCAGAGTTATAGACTACACTAACAAATTCTGGCAAAGCTCATAGATGCTCTTGTTTTGGGATTTGCACACCAGCCCAATGATCAGACCAGACCAAGACACGCGGCGGTTACACCTGTAACTACCGGGTGTCTGTGCCTTCCCGTGAGCAATCAGGGTCGGGACGTGACAGAAGATACGACCCCTGGCAAGGCCTCCGGTGCCTCCCAAAAGCACCTGCACTGCCCTCGTGCTGCGAAGCCAACCTCACGACAGTTGTGCCCCTCGGCAGGCAGGAGTTCTGATCCTCTCCAGCCCCTGCTGGCAGGGGGGTGGGGAG